CAATGGCCAAGCCAAAAGTGGCCCTTTACCAAATCCGACCGTTAAAAAAACAACATACACATTAGAAAATCTTTGTCTAAATTGAAAACGACGGGTTTTTGGTCAGGATGATCGACTCACTTCTGGCTAGCTTATTCTTTTAAGACCATGCGCATATGCGCAATGAAACATTTAGGCGACGGCGATTCGAGCCTTGGGTATAGAATACTGAGATACATTCGCTTGGCTCTTGCAAAGTCTAAGGGATGGGATCTCCATTATTACCACTTAAGGGCCTAATCCAGTCATTTCAAAATTTTGCTTTTAATTTACTTGATTGTCTAATTCAGTGTTCACTTCAAAGTTATAAAATTAATGCTGAAGTAACAGTACGTTTAAAAATTATATCCTTCGCTCCTCGCCATTGCTGTAGTATCATAAAATTTGTACTCAAGATGAACAGGAGTGATAGAACCACTAAAGCTCTTGTAAGTGTCATGACTACTCCAGAAATGACGGTTGCGACATGCTCTCCTCCATCTGTGGAGTTGTGGAGTGCTTGCCGGGGAATAAAGCAAGTGGCCACTCGAATTATTCTGTCTTGTAGGAAAAGTTGAAGGCTGATGCAGGATGTAAAACGACGTCGAACGCATTTGGGTCGCTGACTGGGTGGGGATTGGATTTGTCTAGGCAGCGATGTCTTATGCCCTTTCACCGGTATCTACACGGAGCTCTTTGATTGGAATTAGTATCAATCCCCGTGCTTAAAAGAGCTGGATGCTTTTGGCCATAAATCCTGGCGTCCCAATGTCTTGTCACGTAATTTGCCTGTATTTTAGGGCTGATGTGGCGTCATCTGCAAGACAAGTGCCCTTAAAATGTAGCTGCGGAGAGGCCTACTGCTCTAGAGGATCGTCTTTGGGGCTACCCGATTTGCTCACCATCTTATACTAATTTGTCTGACAACAATGCCACCCCAGGTTTTACTGGTTATGTGGGGAAGCCCACAGTCTCTTCGTCGTTGAAGGTGGCTCTAAAAGCACTATAATCGACCTTCAGGTGGAAGAAAGAACTTTTGAGAAAGAGTGATGAGGATACTGTTAATCTACGTTTAATTTGCTAGAGTAGCTACCTGGTGGAGGCGATCCTGCTCTTAAAATGCATCAAGTCAAATAACTGTATTTGTGTGTCTACCTTAATCCACAAGTCAGTTTGGAGCAGCAGGCAGAAATATTTCACCACTGGATTTAGATAAAGGAGCTCGAAAAAATAAGCACGCGATTTGTCGTATTCGTGATGGAATGTCTAGACGGTAAACTGTCTGTTATGGTTCGACGTGCATGCAAACTTGATATTTCATCACACTGAGCAGAGAGACTGAACATCAGGTTTCGGTAGCAATAATCATAATTTATTTGCGAGCCGTAGTCACCTAATACATAAATACGCAAAGACTAGTCGGACTGGTTGCCAAGTCGATTCCCAACTCGTTTCAATTTGACACAGTCAAACACATTCCCGCCTCAGGATTGTTAAAAGCGTTAGCAACACACGCCAACACTCAAGGGAGTGCTTCTACAATGGTGACCGTAAAGCACTGAAAACAGCGCTTATGGTCGCTTTAAAACAAACATAGCTTCGAATACGAATAGTGTTTAAGCCGCACACGCTGAGGCAAATTGTAGCTGCTACACATTTTTGTTTGTAATGGGTACAAACTCACTTCCTTGGGATTCCGCGACACTCAGCCGAGGATTTTTGAATTGACGCCTTGCGTTATATGTCTCCAACAGCGAAAGACAACTCAGATTTCATGGCCTCTACTTCATAGAGGACTTTGGCAAGGATTGGATGAAAATACGGTGTAGTGCTATGGGTGGGCGGAGGAAATGGGGTTGGCAAGCAGTCGGTTCCTCTTCCCACTCATGCTGCTTCGTGACCCCGATGCAAAACGAAAGAGGTGGCTGTATATCACCCGATTTACCTCCCACTGCAACCGCAATCGTCAGTTCCTTCTATCCGCCGGCAGTTTCGGTCGTTCGAAATAATTACGTCCAAATACAAATAAGAGGTAAAAATCAAGCTTTATTCAATTAGCAAGATAATTGCTCCTAAGAAAAAGACAGCCAGAATATATTTCAAATCATAACTTACACGATCTTATGGGGAGTAGTGAATGTGCTAGTTAAATGGTAAAAAACATTAAAAACAAGCCTTTATTACCCTATCGACCATCTAATTTACTATAATATCAGTATAGTAGCATTATTTAGATAAAAGGCTTAATACAAATAGCTATTCTGGGCTATATTCTAATGTAATGTGTTGGGTCAAGTGGATTTGAGTTCTACTTTGAAAACTAATACGGGATTTGAAAATATTATTGCCCCAGTCTTCACTACAAAAGTTAACTTTCCAAACAAATTGTTACCTGTGGATTTAAAAGTGTTAAAAACAGTCAAGGTCTCGGTCAGTATTTTAAAACGGACGCCTATTCGTGTGACTTAGACTGGTAATGTTTGTGGCGGTCAAATTTTGTTTTTGTCAAATTGTGTCGATTTCATTATCAAGAACAGTTCCATTATTGGATGTGAGAGCATTGTTTATAGGCTAAAGGCAATGTAAGGTATTTTCACTCCAGTATATATCTTTTCTAAAATAGTAGTACTATTAAATTATCGCGAATGCCGCTGTATGCTCGCTTCTCATTTATCCTAAACATCCAACTTTCCTTACAGCGCCACCCGAAATAAACAATGAAGCGTTCCTTGCCGGCCTTCCGAGAAACCAAGTTGTTGGAGCCCAGACCATATCAAGTAGAAATAGCCAACATGGCCCGCAATGAAAGCATCATCGTTAAACTGAGTACTGGTCTTGGGAAATCATTCATCGCCGCAATGGTCATAAAAGATCACCTTCCGGAAACCTATTGCCCCGTCACAGAAGGTGGCAAACGTATTATCTTTGTTGCAAAGACCGGTAGGTTCATCACAACCGTCCTTTACACGCATCCACCTTTTTTCCCCCTTATTCTTTTAAGACCATGCGCATATGCGCAATGAAACATTTAGGCGACGGCGATTCGAGCCTTGGGTATAGAATACTGAGATACATTCGCTTGGCTCTTGCAAAGTCTAAGGGATGGGATCTCCATTATTACCACTTAAGGGCCTAATCCAGTCATTTCAAAATTTTGCTTTTAATTTACTTGATTGTCTAATTCAGTGTTCACTTCAAAGTTATAAAATTAATGCTGAAGTAACAGTACGTTTAAAAATTATATCCTTCGCTCCTCGCCATTGCTGTAGTATCATAAAATTTGTACTCAAGATGAACAGGAGTGATAGAACCACTAAAGCTCTTGTAAGTGTCATGACTACTCCAGAAATGACGGTTGCGACATGCTCTCCTCCATCTGTGGAGTTGTGGAGTGCTTGCCGGGGAATAAAGCAAGTGGCCACTCGAATTATTCTGTCTTGTAGGAAAAGTTGAAGGCTGATGCAGGATGTAAAACGACGTCGAACGCATTTGGGTCGCTGACTGGGTGGGGATTGGATTTGTCTAGGCAGCGATGTCTTATGCCCTTTCACCGGTATCTACACGGAGCTCTTTGATTGGAATTAGTATCAATCCCCGTGCTTAAAAGAGCTGGATGCTTTTGGCCATAAATCCTGGCGTCCCAATGTCTTGTCACGTAATTTGCCTGTATTTTAGGGCTGATGTGGCGTCATCTGCAAGACAAGTGCCCTTAAAATGTAGCTGCGGAGAGGCCTACTGCTCTAGAGGATCGTCTTTGGGGCTACCCGATTTGCTCACCATCTTATACTAATTTGTCTGACAACAATGCCACCCCAGGTTTTACTGGTTATGTGGGGAAGCCCACAGTCTCTTCGTCGTTGAAGGTGGCTCTAAAAGCACTATAATCGACCTTCAGGTGGAAGAAAGAACTTTTGAGAAAGAGTGATGAGGATACTGTTAATCTACGTTTAATTTGCTAGAGTAGCTACCTGGTGGAGGCGATCCTGCTCTTAAAATGCATCAAGTCAAATAACTGTATTTGTGTGTCTACCTTAATCCACAAGTCAGTTTGGAGCAGCAGGCAGAAATATTTCACCACTGGATTTAGATAAAGGAGCTCGAAAAAATAAGCACGCGATTTGTCGTATTCGTGATGGAATGTCTAGACGGTAAACTGTCTGTTATGGTTCGACGTGCATGCAAACTTGATATTTCATCACACTGAGCAGAGAGACTGAACATCAGGTTTCGGTAGCAATAATCATAATTTATTTGCGAGCCGTAGTCACCTAATACATAAATACGCAAAGACTAGTCGGACTGGTTGCCAAGTCGATTCCCAACTCGTTTCAATTTGACACAGTCAAACACATTCCCGCCTCAGGATTGTTAAAAGCGTTAGCAACACACGCCAACACTCAAGGGAGTGCTTCTACAATGGTGACCGTAAAGCACTGAAAACAGCGCTTATGGTCGCTTTAAAACAAACATAGCTTCGAATACGAATAGTGTTTAAGCCGCACACGCTGAGGCAAATTGTAGCTGCTACACATTTTTGTTTGTAATGGGTACAAACTCACTTCCTTGGGATTCCGCGACACTCAGCCGAGGATTTTTGAATTGACGCCTTGCGTTATATGTCTCCAACAGCGAAAGACAACTCAGATTTCATGGCCTCTACTTCATAGAGGACTTTGGCAAGGATTGGATGAAAATACGGTGTAGTGCTATGGGTGGGCGGAGGAAATGGGGTTGGCAAGCAGTCGGTTCCTCTTCCCACTCATGCTGCTTCGTGACCCCGATGCAAAACGAAAGAGGTGGCTGTATATCACCCGATTTACCTCCCACTGCAACCGCAATCGTCAGTTCCTTCTATCCGCCGGCAGTTTCGGTCGTTCGAAATAATTACGTCCAAATACAAATAAGAGGTAAAAATCAAGCTTTATTCAATTAGCAAGATAATTGCTCCTAAGAAAAAGACAGCCAGAATATATTTCAAATCATAACTTACACGATCTTATGGGGAGTAGTGAATGTGCTAGTTAAATGGTAAAAAACATTAAAAACAAGCCTTTATTACCCTATCGACCATCTAATTTACTATAATATCAGTATAGTAGCATTATTTAGATAAAAGGCTTAATACAAATAGCTATTCTGGGCTATATTCTAATGTAATGTGTTGGGTCAAGTGGATTTGAGTTCTACTTTGAAAACTAATACGGGATTTGAAAATATTATTGCCCCAGTCTTCACTACAAAAGTTAACTTTCCAAACAAATTGTTACCTGTGGATTTAAAAGTGTTAAAAACAGTCAAGGTCTCGGTCAGTATTTTAAAACGGACGCCTATTCGTGTGACTTAGACTGGTAATGTTTGTGGCGGTCAAATTTTGTTTTTGTCAAATTGTGTCGATTTCATTATCAAGAACAGTTCCATTATTGGATGTGAGAGCATTGTTTATAGGCTAAAGGCAATGTAAGGTATTTTCACTCCAGTATATATCTTTTCTAAAATAGTAGTACTATTAAATTATCGCGAATGCCGCTGTATGCTCGCTTCTCATTTATCCTAAACATCCAACTTTCCTTACAGCGCCACCCGAAATAAACAATGAAGCGTTCCTTGCCGGCCTTCCGAGAAACCAAGTTGTTGGAGCCCAGACCATATCAAGTAGAAATAGCCAACATGGCCCGCAATGAAAGCATCATCGTTAAACTGAGTACTGGTCTTGGGAAATCATTCATCGCCGCAATGGTCATAAAAGATCACCTTCCGGAAACCTATTGCCCCGTCACAGAAGGTGGCAAACGTATTATCTTTGTTGCAAAGACCGGTAGGTTCATCACAACCGTCCTTTACACGCATCCACCTTTTTTCCCC